GGAGAGAGAGAGAGAGAAATGACAGAAAAAGAGGAAAGTTAAAAGAGGGAATGACTAACCCTCCTAGTACCACCCTACCTCCAACTCTCATTCTCTCTCTCTCTCTCTCTCTCTCTCTCTCTCACTTCTCTAAAAGGAAACCATGTTTCCACCTTGGGTTTCCACCGACTGCCTGCTTCCGCTTCTCTTGTCATTTACGGCACTCGTTGCTTCAGACGATTCAAATTTTAATTCAATTACCTCAACGTACACCTGCCTTCTAGTTTGTACCTACTGGGTACTTCTCTTTCTACAGCAATTCTTGCCAAGACCCTACCCCTCACCCACTCCCCTCTCTCTCTCTCTTCCATAATCACCTTCATACAGAAACGTCTCAACGTTGAGTACTACAATTTTCTTCAATAACTTTCAGTTCGTCTCAAATATTAAGAGAATTTTCATTTCTTGCTCACTTCTTTAGGATGAAAACATGTTTTTCATTCTAAAATGTTGGAAATATTACTTTGTGTGTATGAGGGAGGATGGGAAACTATCTTTTATAATTCAAAAAATGTTGCTAGTCAAAAAAAAAAAACTATAAATTCAATTTTGTCATCATCAGACACTCAACAATGTAAAGATTTCGTTAGGATGGTATAGGAAATTGATGAAAGTACACGGAAAGAAAAAATTGAGGAAAAATTACGGAACTTAGTTGAGTAACTCAGGATATCGCGACCGTTTCGGGATATTTACAAATTTATCTGTTTAAATAAGTAATAAAATATTTTGGATATAGTCTAAAATATTTTCTCAATTTCTGTTAAAATGAACATTAATAATTCAAGAAGAAATCAAATTAGAATTTGCTTAGTCCATTTCAAAAATGTTAAAGAAACTTTCTTACTTATTGACGAGTTACTACATGAATTTCTCATAAAGTCTCATATAAAAAATTATACGGAACTATTTATGAAAATTCTTAGCTAAGAAAGACGAAAAATTTTTTGTTCTATTTCTCCTTTCATCACTCACATTTTTTTGTAAACACACATAACTATTGCGTCATATTTGAAAATTTATATATAGCGATCAAATACAAACTCATATATTATTAATATAACACACACATGAAACAATTTTTATTAAAAATCTTTGAAGCAGAAAATTTGACTACAGGCGGATTTGAACTCTCGTCTCTAGGTACAGAAATCCGGTGTGTATCCTCTAAGCTAAAACAATTACATAACTTCTCTTTCTTAGTAGAAATCTATAAGAAACTGTATGCCGAGTGCATACACACTCATACACAGTGGCAATAGTTGCGATGCGCATCATAGTCAATTCCGAGTTCCGTAATTTTTCAGATTAAAATCCTGAAGTCTTTCCATAGCGAGGAAAATGAAAAGTTATCAATGTAAATAGAAATATTCATTCGAACTTTTATAAGATCTTGCGAACTTTTCAGAAGAAACTACTAAATTTATTTTGAGAAAGTACTGAAAAAAAGATAGTGAATTTATTTGAGATTTTACTGAAATTTTCGGACTTTTAATTGAACATTCATGAATATCTTTGAATTTTTCCCTCGTATCCAGAGTTTTACTTAATTATTTTAGGACTTTTTCCTGAACTTTTTCTTTCCATGTAAGGTTTTGGGATGTAGTAGGGGAGACCGGGGCTATTTGGCGCAGGGGTTGCTTGGCGCACATGAGTTTATTCAAAAGTGTTAAGTTACATTAATTTTTGTCCTTATTCTGCTTAAAGTACTTGATGAACTGTAAGTTTGTACAAAATTTCATTAATATTCATTAATTATTGTGGAGTATAGATTAAAATAACTGATTTTGGCACTCCAAAATAATTTTTTAACCTCTTCATTTTTTTGTGATATCTCTTTAAAAAATTAGTTTTACAAGAGCAGTTCCAATACCGTTTATCATTTTTACCTTCCCTCGATCTTACGTATAAAAAACCTTCCAATAATAATTTATTTCCAACAATTCTGGGCAATTCGACGTTTAAATCCATTGAAATTAAGTACAAATAACTAGGAATTTAGAATTTAATTAATTTCGAAAAACAACATTTACAAACTGTAAATTTTGACGTTATGATAAACAAACTACTCTACATTCTTTTGTTTATTTACATCACAATCTACCGTATTTTGTTATATTTTTTTTGTATATTTATTTTTTCGGGTACATATTTTTCGGGCAAATAACTATTTGGGTGATTGGCTTCGGGCAAATGACCATTCGGCCTAATGTCCATTCGGGCAATTGCGGGTCGGGGTTGCTTGGCGCGCTTTGCACAGCTTCAAATAAAGTGGTATAAAAATAAAAGTATTAAATATATTTCAACTTTCTTTTTTTTTTTTTAATTAAAGCTGATATGTTACAACAAGTTTTCTATACATTAACTTTTTTAAAAAAGCAAAAATGAGTAAGTTACACAACAAATAGTAAAAATTGCGCCAAGTAACCCCGGTCTCCCCTACTCATTTGTGTAGAATATATTTTTCTAAAATTTTATTAAAAATTTTCTCGTATACAGTTAGTGGTGTACCGATCTCGAAACGTTAAAAATGAGCGTATATATCTTTTACTCTATAGTCCCAAAAATTTGACATAATTTTTTTATTATTAAATTATTAAATCTTCTAGATCTCACAATCAGTGAATAGTAATTAAAAAAATGTAATTAAAATTAACAAATCTATTAAAAATTTTAATTTAACTTTTGCAAATTATTAGAATAGAATACAATTATTTCTTTGTAAATTGTGATATTGCAAAATTATTCAGCGCATTAACCGCAATTTAACAAAAATTATAAGTACTTCCCTAAAGAATAGTGTTCTGAAGCTTCAGTCCAAATGTCAAGTAAATCCGTTAAAAACTCTGGGAGTAATCCTTCTGCCCATTTTGAAAAATTTAGTTTCAAGAAGAACGAGTTTAAAGTTTGCAGTCATAAAAACAGAAGTTAACACTTTAAAAAGTTGAGCTACGCTCACGAAAAATTACTTTTCGGAGGCGCTGATTATACGAATCCAACGTTAGTTTTTAAATATTCAAAATGGCGGATCCAATATGGCTGACGACAAAATTAAAAAATTTAACAGATTTACATGTTGCTAGGGGGGTTTTTGGAGTCGATGATTACGAATATGACGTTAGTTTTTTAATTTTTTCTTTAAAATTCAAAATGGAGGATCGAATATGGCGGAAATTTTTTTAAAAATTGACAATTTTTACTTGAGACTTGTTACTCGGGGGGGGGGGGTTTATAGGGTAGCTCATTACGAATGTGATGTCAGATTTTCAAAATTTAAAATAGCGGATCCAACATAACGCACTACAAATTTTCAGAGTAAAGCTAATGTTGACACAATGGTTTTTTTTCGACTTAAAACTAACTTAACTGAACTAACTAATTTTTCGAAAGTGAGTGATGTTACCCTTTAAACAGGAAAAACAATAGAGCCCCATTTCAAATCTACACTGTAAAAAGAAAGGTATTAATTTAATACCACAATGAGAAAACTGTTTGGTATCATGTATCAAAGTTTGGTTGTCCCTACCAAATTTTTTATTTGATATATGTGCAACTAACCCGTTTGGTTGGGAGTGCTAAATTTTTTTGTCCAACCGTTAAATTTCGCTCAATTGAATTATTTAGTAGGTGTAACCAAATAATTTAGTCTACGTAATAAATACATTTATTAGAATGAAAAAAAATGTTCTGTTGACGTAAATAAAATTTAGTTATTTCAACTTACTGTTTTCGTTGATTAAAAAAAATTTTTTTTGTAGAAATAACTAAATAATTCTAACCCCCATTCTCTTAGCAAACGTTTTGTCACTTCGTCAGCCATTCTTTCGAAATAAAAGAAACACTTTCAGTACACTTTTAAAAAATAAATATTTATAAAACTTTAATGACACTGCTACGATAATAGACCAGCCGAACAATAAAAACACATGACATAAATGATCGGATAAGCATAACGCGGAAGAGGTCCACGACTGACTAGGCCCTACGACCGACGCCACATTTTCGAGACCAGCGCGTGCGCAATTCTGCGTGCCAGCGATTTAGTACGGAGAACCAAACTGTTTAGTTCGTAGACATGAAACCTTCAAAAATATTTTTTGGTAGAGCAAACTAAATTTTTCGATTGATTGCCACTTTCTTTTCTGTTGTGCCAACCATACTTTAGTAAAGCCAACTAAAAATACTTAACTAAATTATATTCTTATTATTACGATATTATTTTTCTCAGTGCAACTTCAGGTACTAAATTGTCATTTGGTTCTACTTTGTTACCTAAAATCGGTACTGTTTTAGTACTTTCTTTTTACAGTGTATAGTGAAACAAAATATGATAAGTAGGCAATATAAAAAAAAGAAAAAAAAATTTCGCCTTTCTTGAAAACAATGGAATTAAAAAAGAAGAAAGATCTATCAGAAAATTGAAGAAAGAAATCTCCCAGAAAAAGAAGAAGAAGACGAGGTAAAACGAAAGAATAAGAAGTATCCCGCGGTTTTGCGAACTCGTATTTACGTCATAAAGTTCCAAAGCTTTGTGTATGCTCTGTGCCTCTCATCTAGCTACCCCTTTCCTCCTTTTGCCCGTCTCCTCCCTCCCTCTCTCTCTCTCTCTCTCTCTCTCTCTCATCCCCTATCACACTTTTTCTTCCCTGTCTTTCACTCTTTGTAGCACCTGCCTACCTACCAGATACGCAGAGTTACCCCTTTCCCCGCGAATGTTGGGAGGAGAGAGAGAGAGAGGGGTAAAAAAAAACCCCCAGAGCAGACACCCAATGAGGGTGGAAAATGAGACAAAGGGATGCTGCAATGATAAAACAGAAAGAGAGGCAATGAGAGGAGAGAGAGAGAGAGAGACAAATATAGTGAGAGAGGGTAAATTGTGTAGCGAGAGGAATGACTTGCAAGTTGAGCGCTTGCGCGAGTCCAAGGGAATAGTGAACACGGAACAGTCGTAGCCGGTGGTGCCGGGGGGCAAAGACTCCTTTGCTCATATAGAGTGAATGTTTCGCGCGATTTCTAACTCACGGGGGGCATCACGTATGACCGCCAATTTGCCCCGGTCTTTATTCGCGATCTCTCACAATTATTATTATTATTATAATATTATTAATCTTCTCATTATTTATTTTCTCAAAATTTGTTAATTCATTCATTTTTTTTTTCCAATCCAAATCACTTTTTAGTGGTGCCGTTTTTAACTTCATCTATTCGGTATGAAGTATATATGACCTAATATTGTGATTGAAAAAAAAGGGGAAAACAATTTTTTTTGGGGGATTTTTGAAATATTGTTTTTTCAAAGTATTCTAAAAGAGGGGAAAAGTGAAAAAAAAAGAAGAGGAGGAGGAGGAGGAAGGTGGGCCTCATTGTATAGGAAAAAAAAGACTATTTAGCAAGCCAAAAAAAAACAAGGATCGCCTGTGATAATGCTCGTCTGCTGTTTGATCATAGCCGGTAAGTTCTACTTTGGCCTATTCTACTGTGTGAGTTATAATGAAAATTTGCCGGCTGAAAACATGGGAAAACGTGTTTCGTGTGCACGCTAGTTCCGGTTTTGTGCGCTAATTTGACGATAAAACGAGAATGGGAAATTGTTATTATTATTAGTTGCGATTATAGCACGCGAAATTTTCGTGTAATCGTTAATTGGTAATTGATAAAAATTTGCTAACTTGCTCTTAAATGAAACTGAAGTTAACAACGTTTATAGTCAACGTTTTTTTTTTTTTTTTTAATATATTTCTTTTTTTTGGAAATGAAAAATTCTATGAATTTTTTGTCACAGGAAGATATTTTTTGCAATGTTTACAAAAAATGTATTTGTTTGCAAAAAATTTATTTTATACAATGTTAGGTGACTATTGTTTAAATAAATAAATTTTCTTGAATCAAATAATTTTTATTTTAGTCAATAAAAATTTTATTTCTAAATGAAAATCATTTGATACAAATAAATATTTATTTGATGATAGTTAAAGAGCCCATTATTTGAATAAAATAAAATTTTTTGTATTTATTAAAAAATTATAAAAAAAACATCTTTTTAGTAAAAAAAAAAAATCTTTTTAATTTTCCGTTTTTAAAAATAATTTGTTGATCATGAAAGTTGTTGACTGTAACGTCATAATTCTAAATTGATATAGAAAAATAATAAAACAAAACAAATCCTAATTTGTAAAATTTTATCCATTAGCAAAAAGGTTTTTTTTTTTGGTTATTATTGAAAAAATAAACTTACGATTACCAACGATTTTTGTTAAATGAGAAAAAAACTTTTTTTTGTAAACTAGTTTTTTTTGTTTGTTTTGTAATTATGTTAATTAACAATGTTTTTAAAATTAAGTTGAATATATATTTTTTATTAGAAAATTAAAATCTCGTCTTTGGAGTTATATCGACGAGTTCGTTGACCTCGTATCTCAATATTCCACAAGGTAAATCTAGATTTGAAATAAAATTTGTCGTAGGTTCGGGTCAGGGTCATCAAAAAAAAAAAAAAAATTATTAACCCCTAAGTCAATTAATTATTTCCACGTTTTTTGATAAAAATTTTTTTAACATATTTCAGTTTAGAAAAAATGATCAAAAGTATAAAATTATTTGTTAATAGAAAACAATTATTAATAATTTATATTATTATCATTATTATTATTTACTAATAAGTCTAATATTATTTTTTGACAATTTAGTCTCAATAGTAATATTATAATATATTATTATAATATAATAATAATATAATATTAATAATATATCAAAAAACGAAAAAATTGTTACAACCGTACCCTGTCTCATCTAGTATTTTCTTTTTAGAAAATCTTAAATTTTTGACACTAGTTTATTGACTTTCAAATTTTTTTTGGAATTTTGAATCTTTTTTCAAGTAACCTTAATTCAATCGATTTTCATCTGATATAACCGTGAAATTACACTTTTATGCCAAATTTTAGTTCTCTAGGTAAAAATGTCTTCGACCTCTATGGAGAGTGGGCGAAATTAAGAAAGCAATAAAAAATAAATTTAATAGCAATTTTAGTTATAATATATACAGATTTGTACCAAATTTCAGTTCTGTAGGTAAAAGTGTCTCCGACCCCCCCCCCCCCCCCCCCCGACCCCCCTATAGGGAGTGGTCGAAATTACAATAGGATGAAAAATAAATTAAATAGGAATTTTAATTATAATATTATATAATTTAATATAATATATATATATATATATATATATATATATATATATATATATATATATATATATTGTAGTCTATTGAAATTTATGGACTATATTTAGTAAGGTCAAAGGAGTTCACTCATTTTTATTTCGATGTATATGTATGAGTTTACTTTTTTCCATGGACAAAAACCCGTTGATATTTGAAAAAGCGGGCTAGTCGGCAATATTGGAAATCGATATTTGCTTTAAGTATGCAAACGTTGAAGAACAAGTCACTTTTAAGCTCGATAAATCTAGTTCGACTGTTCTCGCGAGCTCTAGTGTATATTTATTTTACGACATGATCCTGCCAACACACAACCTTGATTCACACGTTTCTTCGTACCCAATTGCCATAGAGAAACACTTTTAGAACCTTATATATATATATATATATATATATATATATATATATATATATATATATATATATATGGGTGATTCCACGTCAGATTTTAGTTCAAATTTTAAATTCGTCCAAAACTATTTTTTTTTCATTCTTCATAGTAAAAAAACGTATACGTATTTTTTTTTTTTTTTTGGTGCCCAAATTTTTGAGTTATGAATTTTCAAAATTTTGGTTTTTGAAAAGTAGACCTATTTTCCTAGACCTACAACTTGAAAATTATTGAATTTAGAAAAATTTCATTAAGAGAAAAAAGTTTCGATTTTTTGTCGACTTTTTAATAATGTCAAAAAAAAAATTATTTTTGAATTTTTATTAAAAAAATAATAATTTTTTATAAACAAATTCATTTTTTTTCAATTTGGACATTTTTTTTAAAATTTTTTTTATTAGATACCTGAAAATAATAAAAAACGTTTGCACAAAGTTTTGGAGTGGGCGCGCGACGTACAATCCGAATTTTGCTAGTTTAAGTAGGAGTGTTTTTTTAAAGTTAGTTTTTAATTTGTTTTTTTTTTATTTTATAACATATCTATTACAATTAATACTTTAAAATAATAATACTGATAATATAATTATTATTTTCTTATATATATTCAGTTTATGTTTTTCGTTGAGATTTAGCACGGAACGTCGCGCGCTCAACTTGCACGCAGAGTTTAAAAATTCATTTTCACCTATTAAACTCATCAGGCCCATTCCAAAACTTTGTGCAAACGTTTTTTATTATTTTCAGGTATCTAATAAAAAAAAAAATTTTTTAAAAAAATGTCCAAATTGAAAAAAAATGAATTTGTTTATAAAAAATTATTATTTTTTTAATAAAAATTCAGAAATAATTTTTTTTTTGACATTATTAAAAAGTCGACAAAAAATCGAAACTTTTTTCTCTTAATAAAATTTTTCTAAATTCAATAGTTTTCAAGTTGTAGGTCGTTGAAAATAGGTCTACTTTTCAAAAACAAAAATTTTGAAAATTCATAACTCAAAAATTTGGGCACCAAAAAAAAAAAAAAAAATACGTATACGTTTTTTTACTATGAAGAATGAATAAAAATAGTTTTGGACGAATTTAAAATTTGAACTAAAATCTGACGTGGAATCACCCGTATATATATATATATATATATATATGTAAAATATTGAATATGCATTTTTATACAATAAAACGCAAAAATTCAATAATTTTATACAGAGAACGTTTATTTATATATTACACTCAGTAACTCAGCACTAAGCCGAATTTTTATTTCTTCGAATTATTATATTTTGCATATATAAGTTTCATTTAACCGATTTTCTATATTACAGAATTTTTATATAACCGAAAATTCGCATTACAGAATTTTATTTGTTTGAATTTTCATACTACAGAATTTCTATACTAAAACTACTAAAAAAACATTTAACAGAATTTCTATTTGATAGAATTTTCATTTGTCCGAAGAAACAATAGAAAGATTTCGGCGCGAATTTTAAAATCCAAACAATTAAAAATTATTCCGTAAAAACATTTTTAGTGTGATACCCAAGTAAATCGAAGCATTTATATAGTCGCAAGAAAAAAATGGTATTAAAAAATGTCGTGAAAGTTTTGTGACCATCTTTTCCGAGACTAAAAAAAAATATTTAATTTTTACTTTTTCAAAGTCAGTTTAATTTTTTTTTTTGTTTTGTTATTTATATATTTATTTTTATCATACAAGAAGAATTTTTAATTATTCAAATATTAGAAAAAATTTTAATATGATATTTAAAATAGCTTACATTTTCATGAGTAGACCACCTCTTTTGTATCCATGAGTGCGGACCGTATATTAAATCGTCGATTGTTTTGTATCCAAAAGTGATACTAAATTCACATCACTGTGGTAAATTTGACATTTGGCGTTTACAAATTTTTAAAATGTCATTAAAAGCGTTAAAAAATAAATCTGTTGAAGAAAAAAAAGGCAATTGAAATTGATTTTGATTCGTTGGTTACAACGCCCAGTAAATTAAATAGAAAAAAAGGTATTTCATTTGCAACATTTGTAACACTAAAATTAATTGAAATGCACTAATATTTTTGTTTGTTTGAATGTTCCAAGTGTTTATAATAAATAAATATTCAACAAGCATTGAAATCCTTCAATGTTTATTTGATTTTTAATCATTTTTAAGCAATTTCAGCAGATGGTCCACTCAAGGATACAAATTTTTTTTTTTTTGTCAAAAAAACATCAATTCAGAAAATTCATCTAAAAATTTTTCCTTGAAGCTGGAAAAAAATCTCAATATATATATATATATATATAACTTATAGCTGAGAACAATACCTATCCAATGGTGTATTATAGTTTTTAAATTTTCTTCACTGAAAAAAATTATTTGAGTAAATAAAAACGTGGTCCACTCATGGATACATTCCTTTAAGTATAAAAATTCGGTTATATGGAAATTTTATCAAATAATAATTCGAACAAATGAAAATTCATCTGAACACAATAAAAAACCTGGTCTCAAAATAAGTAGCGTCATTTTAAATACAGTACTTTTAATTATACAAGTGTAGTTGTTTTTATCAATGACAATTTTTTTTGAGTGTGAATTTCGTTTTTTCACGGTTTTCTTTTTTGTTTTGATATTTTATATCAAAAATTTAGAAAATGAAAAATTTATATATATATATATATATATATATATATATGGAATGAAAAAGGTGAAATGCTCTCTGGTGATTAAAATTGTTTACATTGAGGTAAAAAAGCTGTGTTCGTCTTTTAGTCACATGGGAACATTCTTGCGTGGACATTTCTCGAAAGTGATATAAATAAGTCAAAAGCTCACATATTTAAAA